GCCGACGGTCTGCTTTTATTTTCAAAACAGTTTCTTCGGGCGGGACTTCTTGTGGTTGGCCACAGATACAACAAAAGGGCGCCATAAACGGCTGCTGCCGCACAACCACCACGGAGCACCCCAACCACAGTCCGTTTTTTTGGTTTTTATAACCCAGCTCCGGGTGAGTAGCCGACAGGCAACTCGACTGGTTATCGTGTGAGACACTTCTAGCCTCCCCTTTCACCGGAAGTGCGGGATCACCCCAGGCCAGGAAGCGACGTAAAAAGCCGTCGGGCCATGCGGCAGTGTGTACACTGGGCATTTCCTCCGGTGCTCTGGGTTTCAGCGGCCCGTACGGGAAACAAGGAGGGGGAGAAGAGAGAGAGGGCGCGGATGTGCCACGTCTTATGTACAATTAGTTTATTATTATTTATTATTATTATTAGTTGGATGTGGTGGGGATTGGTTAAAAAAAATAAATAAAAATAAAAAGTATCACATACACATTTGCAACAAAGAACACGTAAAAACATCGAAATGATGAATCAAATAAAAACATAAATACACATGTAACATTATATATTTATGATAAAAATAAAAAATAAAAAGTGAAAAAAGTCTACTGTGAGCATCCGGGCCCCAGGGGTGGAGAATTTACCTTAGTTTGCTTTTGAGAAACCGCCAACAGCTTGCAGGGGGGGAGAGATGACATGGGGGCCCCAATTATTTGTTTTTATTTTTATTATTTAGTTGGATGTGGCCTGGGGATCTTGGTTAAAAAAAATAAAAGAATAACAAAGTACCGCTCAATAACTTTGTGATGTTAGATTTTGAAGGGTCACCAAAATGATTGGAGCACGCCAGGAAACAGTGACACTTTTAATGGCATGATGAGGTTCAGTTTAATGGCAGATAGCTTTATAGGCTCACTCTGAATGCTAGTGGGAGCATCGTTTTTGATGGTTGGTCATTTTTCCACAATGGCAAGCACCCAGTACCCATCCCCTGCCCAGATAAAGACTGGTTTAAAACTCCATACAACGCCAAGCTTTTGCATTAATTTATTTAAATCCAGCCGTTTTAGTGAGTTTAGTCACAGGTTTAATTTATCTGCCCTTATATTTTGGACCTCCATGGTACTACTTGAAAATGATAGTGTTGTATACCCTTTTCATTTTATAGTTTTACATCTTCTAATATTAATAAATATTGTAATGATTTTTACTGTGATATTCTTTGTTCTCTGTTTTTGCCACTACTGTGTCAACCTGAATTTCACCTAAGGGGGATTAAATAGAAGGAATATCTCATCTTATCGTTACTGGTAGTTAGATTTGCACCTTTTATATTTAATTTCCACACTTTAGTAGTTTTAGTTTTTTAGTTTTAGTTTTTTAGTTGCAACAATGCATAGTGTATATACTTTAATTTACAGTTATTACATCTTCTAATATTAATAATATTAGCAATATTTTTAGTGATATTCTTGGTTCTCTGGGGATAAGGGGGATAAATAAAGGAATATCTCATTTTATTTTACTGGTAGTTAGATTTGCACTATTTATATTTAATTTCCACTTTAGCTAATTTAGCTAGTTTTAAGTTCTAATTTAGTTTTTCTAGTTTTATCTTTTTAGTTTTCAATCAAAGTTTACATCTTCCTGCCTTCATATTTTTTCCACCACGTTACTTGAACGATGATAGTGCTTTAATTCACCAGTTTTACAATTTCAATCAATCATTAACTAATATTAGACATATTTAGTGTCATTCTTGGTTCTCCATGGGGCATACAGGATAAATAAAGTAACATCTCATCCCATCCAACTGGCAGTCGCAGTTATCCTAATAAAACACGTATTAAAAGAGGAAGAACTCGTCGTTTCACTCTTCAGTTCTGCAGCCGGAGAGAAGATCGTGAAACATAAACAGGAAGCGGCTGGTCTCTGCTCAGCCATTGCAGTTGTCGTGGCTCAGTAACAAAACACGGAGAAGAAAAAAAAAGGAGAGGAAGACCTGGCTTCTTCTCGCAGGCTCTCTGTTTCTTTCCCCCCCGCTCACCAGAAGACTCACTTACATGATTACAAGAGCGAACACGGTTCGGTAAATTACTCTAACGCCTGAATAAACGGGTGAGTGTGGATTCATTCAGCTTTTTCAGGGGATGAATTTTTAGATTTAGTCTTTTACGTGAACGGGCATCTCTCTTCTCCAGCGGTGCTACGTTAGCCCAGTCGGGTTTTAAACTGAAGTTGCAACCCGCTGCTGTGTGCTTTGACGTTTTAAAAAAAAAAAACCCCACTCTTTTAAACGCTAATTCCCGGTTTTTATAAGTTTTATCTGCGAGGTGTTTTCTGAAGCTAGCTGCAGGTTAGCCACCGGAGCTAACCCCCGGGTGCAACGTCGATATGACACGTAGCTTGTGGCTTCCTGCTAGTTAGCCTGCTAGCCGGCCTCACCCAAGGGTTTATAAGTACCACACTTACCCCCTGTATGTGTGTGACTTTGATTTGACTTGTTGTTTTGATGTTCTGGTGGTTTTTTCGGGGAGTTTTCTGTTGTTTTTTTTCCCCAATCATCCACGTTGACGTTAGCCGTTTTAGGTAACGGTCGTAACGTCGCTGCTGCGTTTTGACAGCCGAGTTAAAACCTCGTCTAACTTCAGTTTCTTTCACTCTTTTCTGGGTTTTAATCATGATATATATGTATATGTATATAGCGTTATGTTTGTTCTTCAAAGCCTGCCTGAAATCTCGCAGTAGATGGCGTTTTGATTGAGGTTAAATGTGTTTCTGATCGTTAATTTGAGCAGTGAAACACATTTTTTTTATGGATTGTTACTGATGATGTTTGTAAAAGTAACCCGTTTTAAAGTGTCCCTTGTTATCTGAGTGTGTGTTTCTTCAGCTAACTGCTGATTAGTTAACATAGGAACCCAATTTCAGCTTTTTTTTTTTTTAATTCCTTTTAAAAATGTGTTTTTTATTAACGTGAATCTGTCATTATGTGTGCTCCTCATTTAGCCGTAAACAGCTCTGTGCTGAAACTAAGAACAATGGTCATTAACACATCTGATTTCACTGATAACAGATGTCTCATTGATCTGAAGGTATCTCCAGCCAGATTCCTCCCGTGAACCTTCACTGACCTTCAATTGGCAACCAACACTTTTCGCCACACCTCTTTTATTTACTGTCACTTTGATGTAAATCCTCTTTAAACAACAAACCCTGGATCCTGTCAACCACGTCCAGTCTGCTGCCTTCAACCCGACGTTTGCCACTGCCACATTTTGTTGGTTCACACGTTCAAACCCATAAATAATAACGTGGGGTTGAAGTGTGGCAGCAGCTGACGTGTAGTTCAGCTGTATTTGCGCGCTCTTGAACTTTGGCCACTTTAAACTTTGGCCCTGGAGTTGTTTGCGTGTTAGGTAACTGGGGGTTATAGTTCGGCACCGGCTCACCTCGCTGTGATGCCTCTGTGACTGTCACACGGTGAGTATGTGTGTTTCTAATGCAGCAAACATCGTGGTTTCATCGGCGGAGAGGGGGGGGGGAAACCTCGAGGCAGCTTGAAGCTTCTCCTTTGGTTGCGGGAGAGAGGAAGTGTGTTTTCTCAACCCCATTTTCTCAGATTTTCATGACTCTTGGTGAAACTTTTTGCTCACACGTCGTGTAAAAGAGGGGAAAAGGAGGTTTCTGTGCTAAATTAACAAATGAACACTGGAGTTTATCTTACAGAGGAACGGCAAGCTGTTGATTTCACACAGCCGCCCGCAGCAGCTCTCGTCTTTTATCCGTTTTGTTGTGAGTGAAATACAATCTGCCTAGCTTATCATCATTAATTTCCACGGCCCTCGCAGGTGGATTGTGTTGAACGAAACCTTTCCCGTTGTCTGTGGAGGAGATGTCAGATCGGTGTGTGTGATCGGTGTCGTGAATCTCCTGTCCTGCTGTCCAAAGACTCCTACTGGAACAAGCTTATCGTTGGTTGGTGAAAGCCAATCATTGTTCTTATCACCAGTTGCCAATATCTGTCTGATAGGTCTTTTAATGGTTCCCCTGCACACTTTAGGAATGTCATGTGCGTATTGAGCCATAATTAGAGCTGGATATTGTGTAGTGAGTAACAGTCATCTGTACGATAAAAAACAAATCAAATATATGTAGACATTTGTCCATTTATCTTCATATTTACGCTCCGGAGTTAAAGCTAAAACGTCCACCTTTCCCTACAGTCCAGCGTTTTTAAGCATATAATGAAATGATGATTTTACAGGTGTTTGCTTCCACTTAAAACCTCTGTGTACCTACGTACAAAAAGTTATTGATAAATATTCAGTGAGGAAAATGATTAGACGACTCGTATCAGGACACTTTGTCGCATGTCCTCTCTTCAGTCTTGCTCCCTCGCTGTATGAAGACGATCGGTGTTACAGCCACAGTAACGCGCTGCGGCTCTTTTGTTTTTCTCGCCTGTGTGCATTCATGTCTTCTTACCTCTCTGCTTTTTCCCCGTGTGTTGTTTTTCAGGATTCAACAGCTCCGGATATGTCATTCATATTTGATTGGATTTATAGCAGTTTCAGTAGTGTACTACAGTTCTTAGGTGAGTACTGGTAATCAAACACACTAACTCAAAGTAACTCAGTGTTAAAAGCTTTAACAAATGACTGCATAATTTAATAACAAAGTACGAAATAACAACTTTGACTGCTTTTGTCTGATTGTATTCATCAAAATGGTGTTTTGCCGTAGTGAGAATCAAAAAGCTATTTTTAAAAGTGTTATGTAACGAACAGAGTTGGTCATTTGAGAGAGGATTTAGTGCGAGTGTAGTCTGATTGTCTTCAGCGATCACAGGAACAGCTTTTAATTGTAACAGCCACTGGTCTGTCCTAGTGTTGTGCACACATCCGTCCCTGTTGTGGTACGAGTCGATGTGAAGAAGCAGAGTTTGTCTGCGAGTGCTGGTTCACACTGCACCCCGTAGACCAAAATCTGAAACACAAATACTCCACCAGCTCAGCAGGCACCACTCCATAACTGCTAATCCACACTAAAGGATTTCTTTCATTCAGTTTAACATTTTCAGCAAAGCCTGCCTCCTCAGCCCTTTATAATATATACATACGTTTTTCTTCTTCTCATAATTATTACAAAGCCCTTTCACACTGACTGTGGTTCATGTAGTAAGAAATGAATGAATCACTATCATCAGCAGTCACAGGTCCTTCTAAAAGCTTCTGTGCAGCCTGAAACAGCTCTTTATAGCTCTTTGCTTAGAGCACAAACACAGACTGGCTTATGGGTTTGATTCCCATTGGGGCCACACATGCTACTTTATGTTCCTGTAAAGTGGTTCAACTAAAACCAACCCCCCACTGGCGTTATGTTATGTAGCTGGAGCTGATTGGCGTTCAGATTGACATTCGATTGGAAGATTGCTGATAGCGCCCCCCTCAAATGAGGCTCAGCTACCAACCCAAAATATCAGAATCGGTGTTTGACGGCTCTGATTTGACGTTTTTGTTCAGGCGCAGTGGATTGCCAATTAGAAGCAGTAGGAAAGGATCCTGATTATCTGTCTCATGTGCTCTCAGGATATAGTGAGAGTTTTTATTAAAGGTACCTACTACAGCTTTGAGGGACTACATTGTTGTAGAAAGTAAAATCTGAAGTCTGCTCCCTGCTGGTTATTTACAGGAGATGTTTCTGGTGGAGTGGCCTGTCTGTTAATCAGCAGAAGTGACTCTGCTCCTTAATTTAAAGCAATCCGTTTACAATCCCTTTTTCTGTCTGCCAGTCCTGACAAGTGCGTTGTGCAATCTGACCGAACCCCACGCCTCCGTTCTCCATATGCCTGCTCACCGAAGCTCCGTGCACCTATCGTCCACCGGGCCTGTGAGCCGCACGCCGGACCTCGCTTTTGACTGACCAACTTAGATCTCTGAAGCGTGAAATTTAATTTGGAAATGCATGTAATTATGGCCCGTTGACTTCAGTTACGTTTTCAATGATGGATTTAATTTGTTACTTACGTTTGTTCTAGAAATCATAAATATTGTCTCTCAGAAACATGACCTGATTTTTCACTCCAGCTTTTTGAATGTGTTAGCGATTGATGTGTCCGTCTGAAATCTGGTGGAAAATCATATTAAGTGTACCAGCTGCTCTTCTCCCTGAAGTGCAGTGTTCTAGTTTCTGTGTGCGAGATGCTCCCGTGGAGCAGTCGATCCTGTTCTCCCTGTCAGACAGGTAGCATAGTGCTGTTGTGAGTAATGGTGACGTCTAGTAGAGCTGACTCAGTCACATATCCACTGGGTATCACTGCGCTGACTCAGAGGGTGGTAAACACAAAGCCTTGTAATCTCCTCAGAAAAGTTGAGTAAGGAGTAAAGTTAGTTACACCTTTGTCTCCTCTGTTCATTTCGTCGGTACACCCATCTGAGAGAACTGACAATAAGAGTAGAAACTGGTTTTCCTTTGAAGCAGAAACTACCTTTGGGTATTTTAAGTTTACAGTAGTTTTATTGTAAGGATTGTACAAATGTACTACCTCCCTTTTCCAAGCTTAACTTCAGCGAGCGTGGCAATGTCAAGTAGAGACTAGAGAATGGCAAAATCAGTAGGTGGAGCACAGACACCTGTGCATGTTTTCATCAAGCATCAAAGAAACTATTTATGTGAATAAAATATCGAGTGCGTGCCTGACAACAAGCCTGAGCTTGGCAACCCTTTTGTCAATCGTCATCTTTTATGCTTTGAAGATTTATTTATTTATTGTAAAGTTCTTCACTACAACATGACTGATCAACAGAGTTTACCTGTGGTCACTAAGCTTTGTATGATATGATATAGCTTGTCTAAAAAAGATTTCTAGTGCCCAGGCCTGCCTTCTGAAATGCTTCTGGCTTTGTTTCAGGACTGTACAAGAAATCCGGCAAGTTAGTATTTCTTGGCCTGGACAATGCTGGCAAAACGACACTATTGCACATGCTTAAAGATGACAGATTGGGACAGCATGTGCCAACTTTACACCCAAGTAAGTTGGTGCTACTCTCGCACACGCACAAAATTCAGGCAGATTATTTACAGACATTTATGTTCACCATTTTAAACAAACCACTGTTTAATGGGTATTAAGTATACTGTAACATTCTGGTAATACAATATTTTGGTAATATATTGTCTCAACTATGTCAAGCCAGTATCAGTGACGTTTGAGCTGCCTGATTTGTCAGATTTGTTCATGACAATTTTCTATCATCTTTCAGCCTCGGAAGAGCTGACGATTGCTGGCATGACTTTCACCACCTTCGACCTTGGAGGCCACGCACAAGGTATGTTTGTGTAAAGTAATGATTGAGATATTAGCAGTTGTCCTTTAGGTGATTGCAATTTGTTTGTGTTGCTAACATAAGGCCAATAGGATATATCACAGTGGTGTGAGTGAATGCAAAATGTGTCCAACATAAGTAGACAGCGGGACCAAAACGATGTTTGTTTTTGTATTTGTTTGTTGCTTCACACAGCCCGCAGAGTGTGGAAAAACTACCTCCCTGCCATCAATGGCATTGTCTTCCTTGTGGATTGTGCAGACCTCACCAGATTGGCCGAATCAAAAGCAGAACTCGATGTAAGTACCTGTTAGCTCCCTGTCGCACTGTGGAAACGCATAGAAATAGAAACCACAGTCTTGGTCAAATACTTTTTTTCTTTGATATTTATGGCAGCAAAGTTGAGATAGTGGTAGGTTAGTTGTTGTATTAATTTACAGTGAAATTAATTAATTGTTGTCTGTTGTTGTGAATTCTTCTAAATCTGTGGCTTTTTTTGCTCAAGGGAAATACTGCTGACTCAAGTAAGGTATTGCAGAAGTAAGAAGTAATTAATATCAGTATTTAGTTGTATAGTCCTGATGCAGTATTCAAACAGCCTTTAAAGTTAAACAAAATTGCAATGGTAACTATTGTGAAGTTCGCTAGTTGTTTAATATTACACATAAAAGCAAAATAAGAGATAAAAAGTCATTTTTTGTAAATTGAACAAGCAGGTACAGCTCATCAAAGCACAAATGACTGACCGACTTTACTATATGTTAGCCCTCTAGTAGAAGTAGAAGTCAATTACAATACAAAATCATTCCTGGAAGGCACTAAATATCATTGAAACATCACAGTTTGATGATGTGTAACATGGGTATCTGTGGTATCTGAGGGTTGTTGTTGTTGTTGTTTTTTTTTAAATCATCTTAAGGATAAAAATCAAAGCAAATCTACTCTACTTTTCCAGGCATTAATGACAGACGAGACCATCGGAAATGTGCCTATTCTGATCCTGGGCAACAAGATCGACAGACCAGAGGCCATCAGTGAGGAGAAGCTGAGGGAACTTTTTGGATTGTACGGACAGACGACAGGCAAGGTGAGTCAGCACGGCCGATAACACTGCATGAAGATCCAATGTTGGACTATGGGAAAATGCGTTCTTCCCATGGTCCAAAAGTAATTCAGTTAAGGTGTCAAAAGGGCTCAAGTCCCTGCAGTTGTATACCAAACGTCAAGATTAAATTAGCAAGGTAAATATTATCTTGCAGGAGTTCCCTTCTTAACCTGTTTGCCAAGTTAAGAGCAAATTAAAATAAGCCGTTTTACATATTTAAAACATGCATTAAAACCCAGACCTCACTCTTGAAGCCTGTCCACACGAATACGCGCCCTCACCCAATACGATGTCGTTTCCGTAAAAGAACGGCATCGTTCCCAAGAAAAATTTATCGCGCCCACACATTTCACTAAAAACGACCCAAAAAGCAGTAGTACATATGCCAGGCCTGTATGTGGCGCTGTGAGCATGCGTATAAAGGTCACACGCTGTTTACAAACAAGCTCATAACACGAGAAGAGGACGATAATGGTCGTCTAGCAGGGGCGGCTGAGGTTAAAGGCTAGAGAGGCGGGGCTAAAACGTCATTGTTTCGGGAAAAAAACAGTTTTCACTGTCCAGATGATTCCGGGCAATCGGGCGTTTTTGGATTTTCCCACTCTGGGACCCGTTTTCAAAAAATACCGTTTTCACACCCCGAAAACGCCGTATCCGTCTGGATGCGAGGCCAATACGATAAAGT